AAAAAAAAAAAAAAAAAAAAAAAAAAAAAAAAAAAAAAAAAAAAAAAAAAAAAAAAAAAAAAAAAAAAAAAAAAAAAAAAAAAAAAAAAAAAAAAAAAAAAAAAAAAAAAAAAAAAAAAAAAAAAAAAAAAAAAAAAAAAAAAAAAAAAAAAAAAAAAAAAAAAAAAAAAAAAAAAAAAAAAAAAAAAAAAAAAAAAAAAAAAAAAAAAAAAAAAAAAAAAAAAAATGGTCGAATTGAGTAACCTCCTCCTTTTTCGAAGTCGGTTAAAAAATAGGCGAATGAAAAAGTCTTTCACAGAATAACTCCACACCTTCTAAAAAATGAAAAATAATAATTGTCATTTTGAAGTGAGACTATTTTTAATATTTATTTTTACTGGGAGATTTTTTTTAATAAATTCATTTAAGATTCAATATGATTTAAAATTCCTTTTATTTATTTTCCGTTAGATTTAATATTCATGATGAGAATATCAATTGAATTAAATCGTATATCCTTTGGCCTAGTTGGAGGTGAAGTAGTTCTGGAATTTAATTTGGAATAAAAGGAATTTTTCTATACATTTTATACAGGGTGTGACCGGACGTGTGTTACAACCGAACAGTGGGTAAGTCTCCATATAAAAATAAGTCGAAAAAAAAGGAATAACATTTTTTCGTTTAACGCTTCGTTTTTGAGAAAATCGAATTTCAAAATTCTATCCAATTCGCGTGCACTGGACTGTCTCTCCAAATTATTGTTCGCTACAAGTTTCTTTTTGCATTCTAGCATTGACATTTCTAATATTTACATCTTTTCTTCAACTATACGACTTTCTTCTACTTTTATTCTGTGTTGATCAGGCAAGCTCCTATGTGATGACAGTGTCTACTTATAGCAACCTCAAATATGTCGATATGATAAAAGCTTCTGGAGCTTGTCATGGAAATGCAAATGTAGCAGTTGAATATTATAGGCAACAATTTCCAAATACCCCATTTCTGACATTAGAATTGCATGTCATAACTTCTTCCTGCTATATCCTTTCCATGAGCCGAGGAGCACAACAGTATTTTCTGTTGTACGAGGAAAAAAAAATTTTGGCAAATTTTTAAGTAGAAGTTTGTTCCATCTCCTTTTCGTTGGAAGAAACAGGTAAGATTTAGTCATGCGTCAAATGGTCAAATATAAACTTTTGTTGCAATTCTATATCTATACACGTATGTCGATTCTTTATACGTGTTGATTTGTATCTGTACAGCGACGACTGGTACCGCGACTGATTTATACCTGCCTGCTGAACCTTCTCTGGCTACCGATAGAACAATAAACATGCAATATGTTTATATTACCCTCACAGTAATATGTTTACATTGAGGCTCACCTTCTTCGAAAATAAATTTCAACACTCTTTTCTGAAAAAAGTAGAAGAAAATTGTATATGTAATAATTATTGCTAAATTGTAATAAATAAAAATTCCAAAAACACGCATCCCTCATTTTGATTCATATTTTACGTATACAATTCTGTATAAAAATCAAACTGCATTTAGAACAAAAAATTGAATAAAAAATTTAATTTTTTAATATATTATTTAAATAAATCATTTTTCCCGAATTTTTTCGTAATCAACTAAATTGTTTACTCAAAAATACACAATTTAAAAAGAAAATGCGCCCTCCTACACCATCTAGTTTCCGAGATATTAGAGAAAATGTGTTTTCATCATCCAACTTTGAGGGATATTTTTACTCCCTCAACATGCATGTCAGCAGATATAAAAAAATACGTGTCAAATAATTTTCGAAAAGTTACTACATATGCAAATTTCATTAAAATTCGCGTGTAATTTTGGTGTTGTCCCTTGTCAGCAGTAAAATCCTTTATTTGCAGTTTCCTATTCTTGTCGAGGTATTGTTTGGGCTTATTTCTTGCTACGGTCACTTTTTAAGGAATACCTAGATTCACCGCATATGTCACTCACATTTTCATTTCCAACCGAACTCGTGTTCCAATAGAAATTAGAAAATGTTTCCTCTAGCCTGTTCACAAGAATTGTAGAACCACACCGAACCTTCATTTTATGAAATAAACTATCGAACATATAAATATGAAATTAACAGGAAGTTATTTACTTCGGAATATTAGGTACATAGTCATTAGATTGTTCACTTCTGAATAACATCGGATACATATAGAAACGTAATCATTTACTACAATTTCATTTAGAACATTATTATAAATAAGTAGAAAACAAATATCAGTGTTATACAATTATTCAACGTATAATGCACTTATGAATCTTAGGACTTCAAACGATATGAGGTTCTCTACGTCATTCAATCGATGTTAACTATTTTCGATGCTGCGACACGTATGAAAACCATTATTTATTGATCGTTCTACTTTAATTTCAATTTAACAATACGTAATCACAAAATTGTGTTAAATGTCACTTGTATGTTGAAAATAATATTCATCCCTGAATTCTGTTATTCATTGCAATTTTTTATCACCCGTCAATCACTCAGACCCAAGCTATTCTGCATAAAATTTACAAAATTATATTATATTACCTTTTATGAGAGGAATTTCTGTAGCACAACAATATAACCGTACAATTTTTTATTAGACTAAAAGCTATTAATGACGTGTAGGATAATTTACCTGAAGTACCATAAAACTTTATTTTCTTTCCAACCATCCAATTTAAGCGAAACACGCTCATCGCGTGCATAATATTTATAGGTTGGGAGAAAACAGGTTCATAATGGCAGTCACTTAAGCAATTACTGTAATAAAACTAGAGTATGAAATCAAGTATTTATTGCAGACTGCCACCTGAAAACTTAAACTACAAGCAACAAAACATTTAAATTTATAAGTTACATGATATGTAACTTGATATGTTACATGACATTTTACGAACTTAAACTGTTATCTTATTAATAAGTTAAACATTTTGGAATTTCTTTTCAGCTAAAATTTGCAATTAAATAAATAATGGTTTAAACTGCACTGACAACGTAAAACTGTTTACATTACATTTGGTAAAATAGCCTAAAATAATATTTACATGTAGAATGATGAATTGACTCCTAAACATTGTATTCGAATTGAACGCATAAATATAAATGACATGCATTTGTACCATATTTTATAGTTCTTCTTAGCTATTCTTAGCTATAATAGCTTCCCTTAGCTATTCTTGGTATAATTCATATCGTCACCTTTGTAGAGCAAAATTATACATATATGAATAAAATTATATATGTATGTATATTAATATTTGACAATTGAATGTCTACTTCGAGGATGCTCTACTTCGGGATGCAATAGTCAATAAATTCGAATATTGAATATATAAATGAATTATATGTATTTGAATCTACAATTCTCATCCTTTATAATGTATAATATAATTGTACATATGTATGCTATACTATATGATAAAATAATGGTTAAGTGCCGTAGCTCACATCGATTGACGTCGAATTAAGTGCAAGTGTTATTTATTCATCATATACATTATTAATAATATATAAATTATGATTAATATATGATAGTATATAACTAATACGTTGTACATATAATATATAATAATACATTATACATATATAACTATAAATATTGTTATACTAAATACTACATTGAATCAACTTACTGTGGCAACTTTTATGTTGCAATTTTCACACCCAACATAATTATTCAAAAGTAATATTTATATACACATACATCTTTATGTACACATATTATAGTTAAAATTGGAAATTACTTTAATCGAGCTGTAGTGCTTGTTGTTGCAAACTATGCAAATAAAATTTATACTATTGTTAACTAAACAAAACCTTAACCTCTTCCCTTGAGGAGTCTCACTCGTGACGCACTTACAGCTCAAATGTAAGAAACCTTACTCAAATTTTGAATACTCTTCAACTTGAAATTTAGGTCCAACTATAAACTGCATTATCAAGGATCCTTGAATATAAAATACGCACAACATTTTAATTTTCTTTGTTCGTTTTAATGTTATAGTTCTGAATAGTTAGTCTTGATTGACGCATCTAATAAATAAATGGCACGGGAAGGGGTTAATATTTTATATATGATCACATATATTTGTTCTTTGTTGTGAACAAGATTATTATGCATCGAAATAGAAATTCAGTATTGTCCAAATATTAAAGCTACGCACTGTATGTTTCTTCTGGAATCCATTACCATTTCTCCGTGGAATTATTGCGTCAACAAATTATTCTCCGTTCTTCTGATCTTTATACGGTATAAACAATAGACATTCAACTACTGGCTGATTCGAAGAACCGTAATCAAAATCCGCGACGTGTAATTTATGGACTGTGAATCAGCGTCTTAAATGTCACGCAGTCTGGCGCCAGTCAGGTAAAATGGAGTCAGACAACGTTAACTCGAAATACATAATTTTACAGGAAAGAGAGCGATTAGATTATATGTAATCAGTGTTCTTTAACTCTCAATATACTTTACAAATATAAAAGATTATCTCTAAAAACTTTAAAAAAAATAAGCTGTTGAAATGTGTTCTAAAAAGTTAATTAAGATGGTTCGTTTCATTATAATATTAGTAATCACAATTACTCCATTCTCTCGTTACTCACAAAAGCAGAGGTAAGAAAATCATTTTCTTTAATATGAATCTAATGTATATAAATTTTCGTGTAAAACTATTAATATTTTGGAAATGTGTAAAATTGCGACAATTTTTTGAATATTGTTAAAATAAGCTAACTTTCGCAAAAACTATTTATATGATTAAAATAATTAAAGTACAAGAAATTAACTGATCTACGGTTTTTCGTACAATGATCACTTTTTTGCAATATTTTGGTAATTTTTTATGTTTTTTATGTTTCGCTTTGTTTGTTTCTTATATTTCACTTAATATGTTATGCATTACTTGATATGTGTCTTGTATTCTATTTGATATATATATCGCTGTAGTTATTTCTAGCAAACGAAAATAAGTAAAAAAGAACTTACGCGTATGTGAGAACTGCACAAGCACGAGTATCCATACCGAGAAATACATTCGCAGCTTTGAGTTGATCCTGCACAAATAATGTTATATTTATTTATTTATTTATGTTAATTCCTTTTATACAAAAAAAGTATAGTGTAGGGGAAGAAGATTAAAGATCTTTCAATTTTATAATCACTTAAATAAAATACAAATTAAAATTTACGTCGAAAAAACGGTGAAGAGAACAAATACAAGGTAACATAACACAAGATATACGTATTGTATATCATCACAAAAATATAACATAATTAAGAATTGAAGAAGATCAGCTAACGAGTCTATTACTGATTGTATGAAATTTCTGAATATCAATATTAACCCTTTGCGACCAACATACAACGTTAAGACTGCTAACTAGACGAAGTAAATTTAGTTTTCTGAAAAAATGCATAAGTGATTCGTAATAAATATATAGATATTAAATAATACTGAATATTTTGAAACTTATATATTTTGTTTAATAGTAGTTGTAGTGCATAATAATAGAAAAGTGTACATTTATACATTAGAATTGTCATCACACATTTTCATCGAACATTTAGAATGCTAAACCGACATCACTATTTATATTATTTTGATAAAATAATTTTAAGAAAAAAAATACGCCGACTTCGAAATGCACTAAAAAGTATAAAATAATTTCTATTTCCTAATGAAGTAATTTCTATTAGGTGTACAAATGAATAATCCAAATTATTTTAAGCTGTTATAAAATTAATGCATTTGGTGGGATATCAAGGGCGTGCTTTACTATGAGTTGTTAGAACCAGGTGAAACAGTTACTGCAGATTGCTACCAGCGACAATTAATCTGCTTGAGTCAAGCATTGGAAAGAAAACGACCGTATACTGGCAAAGGAGAACGACCAGTGAAACTGTTGCACGACAACGCGAGGCCACATATTGCTTCCAATACAAAAGATGTCATAATGAGTCTTGGATGGGATGTTTTACAGCACCCGGCATATTCACCGGACACTGCTCCGTCAGATTATCACCTATTCCGGTCGATGCAACACGCCTTATCTGATATGCACTTCCAATCAGTGGACGAGATCCGAAAATGCCTTGACGACTTCATCGCGTCTAAAGACGTAACATTCTTCCGAGATGGAATTCATCAGCTACCAGAAAGATGGCTTAAAGTTATAGAAAGAAATGGCGACTACTTTGATTGAACAATTCAATTTAGTAACTTTTAAAATAAATCTTGAATGAAGCAGAAAAATTGGATTATTCATTTGTATACCTAATATTTCATTCAATCATACAACTACGTAACAGATATGAATGAAACCTATTTACTCGTTAGGTATTATATTAAATAATACCTAAAGGCGGCGCAAAATTAAAAGATTATTTTGAATATGTTATTTAATCTTGCGCCGCCTCCGAAAAGGTTGAAATGTATTTAATATAATACCTAACGAGTAAATAGGTTTCATTCATATCTGTTACGTAGTTGTATGATTGAATGAAATAGAAATTACTTCATTAGGAAATAGAAATTATTTTATACTTTTTTGTGCATTTCGAAGTCGGTGTATTTTTTTTCTAAAAATTATTTTTTCTTTAGTTAGATGTGCCAAGGTTTATTATTCGTACGTAACTACATTGTTTAGTGAAACTGCATTATTCAACGAATTTTTTATATCCATTTTATCTAAACTATATTTTAACCACGCGATCATTAAAATTTCTTTGTCAATGAGCAATATTTTTATTCTTATTCTATTCTTTCTGCTTAAAAAAATTGATATTTTATTTATTTTTTTTTGTAATTTTATCCATTTTTATGTTTAATTGACAAATAATATATTTTCCATAAAAAAAATTGCATCGATCCTGCCAGGATTCGAACCTGGAATCTTCTGATCCGTAGTCAGACGCGTTATCCGTTGCGCCACAGGACCATGTTGATTACACTTTTTATTTTAAACTATATAATTTATAAATTACTAATACAATTTTTATTTAATTTTGATAATTAATATTAATAGTGCATTTTAAAAATACAAATTTAAGAGATGATAGTATTCAAACAGTAATAAATAGCATACTACTTTATATCATTTTCCTTTAGTATTCTATAGTTTAATGTTACGTAACAACATGAAATAACGCCAAATTGACAAAATATGTTTGTTAATAATAATGTAAAATATAGTAAGGTGTTTTACAAAGTAAGCTTATATAATATCGACACATATTTTATACCACATTCCGTTATAGAAAATATTTGTACTTATGACAGTCATACATATTTTATGCTTTATTGCAGCCATGTATAGTTAGGATTGTTTAGTTTAGCGCACGATTCTCAGTGGTTATCAACCCAAACATGTAAATGATGTAACTTGATATAGTTTCAAATATCAAACTTATTCAATCTATAGCATTCTAGTTAAAATATTCAAAGTATCATGTAGGAGAATTTGAATCTTTAAAAATTTATTGTTTTCGTAAAAATAAATATTGTCAATATTATTATAAAATAGTAACTGTATAAAACATTAAAATAGCAGAAAATGCACATTAAACACTATTTTATTCACTGTTTATTAGGTGTCTATAGGACCCCACACATGCTTAAGTCAGTTCTTGAGTAGTGATGGGTTGCGTTTGATTATGATACTACACAAGCAACAACTTAGGTACAAAGAGTTATGCTATTATAAGCGATAAATATTTTATCGATAAACATCAACATCGTTTGAACAGTAATCATAACCAATCGCAATCCATCACTACTTCAGAGGTCAACGGGCGGATCAGCTGGTACGTGTATGAGGCCCTTTACTGACCATGCTTTATTGTTTGAATTCCAAAAATAGACTCTGAACTCTACAGGTCAAAAATATTATTAACCGATCTTCACGAAATATTTACTTACACATCTTCCAGTGTTGTGTGATGTGTATGACTCACCTACATATTGCTAATGCCGCGTTCTGTCTTTTTTATATCTGGAAATTCATATCGTTTCTACTTGACAAATTATCAAACTTGGAAATATTGGTGTGCGACACTCTTATGGTTTTTGACAATCTTTTTAATTAATTTGTTATAACGTGTACGCAACTAAAAAGGTAATACAAATCGAACCCCCAACAATTGTTAAATAAGTGAAATGCTGTTAGGTCATTATTAACATGCGACACCTTTATAGATGTGAGCCGAATTTTTTTTAATCATTACATGATATGCAAATTCCGTGGTGTTAAATGCCAAGTATTTTCAACAATAGTTTGTATCGTTTGAGTAGTTGAATAGAAGGGCAATAAAATAAATATCATCATAGCTGACTCAATGACTGCGTCATAAATAGCTCAGACCAAATACCATAGTTGAAAGTAACAGTTTCTGCAAAATAGTAAATTTTAATATGTTTAGTATATTAAAATTAGAATTGTAAATCACAAAGCATAACATATGAAGTATCAATATTGATTATACCTATAATATTACTTTCTAACCGGTTGGAGATGCAAAATACGTCAATGTAGCGATAATACGTTCAAGCGATATACGCTTTACATTGTGAAGGTTATTAGTGTCATGAATTAATTGAGAACAGTCATTGAAATCGATGAAAATGTCACATATTGGTAGATTTATCTTATAATTATTAAAATTTTCAAATTTAAAGATTTATAAATCTAGAAATTTGGAAATTTCAAATTTTTAAAATTGTAAACAATCAATTTTTTAAATTATTAAATTTTCGAACTTATAAATTCTCAAATTTAAATTATAATTTAAATTATAATTTTAAATTATAATTTTAAAAAATTTAAGTTTTTCAATTTATAAAATTTCAAAATTAAAATTCTTCAAATTAAAAATTTGCCTACTTTCAAATTTTTAATTTCACAAATTTTCAAAATTAAAATTTCTGAAATTAAGAATTTTCCTTTTCTGAAATTTGCAAACTTTCAAATGTTGTATAGAAAATATGTGTATACTACAAATTACCTCAGCGTTGTTTGTAACAGTTAAATATGTATAATGATTGTCTACTGTACTCGTCAGTGTCCTTCACTATTCTAAGTTAGCCTTGAACAGCATTCGAAGAAAGTGTCAAATTTGTTCCGTATCTCGCGAATTCTAGCAAGTGCTCTGATCACTCAATTAGGATTACGTAACAGAAAAATAATTTCGGTTTATAATAATCTAAATACTAAAGAGACTAAAAATAATTTATAAATACAAATTATATTTAACTAAGTATCACCATATATCATCATCAACAAATTTTAGTTATATCAATTAATTACCAAATACCAAACATTATAATATATTTATTAATAGGTAATGAACGATGCTCAGCACAGAATATTTCATTTTTACAGGAATATTTAATTTTTTCCATAACTATCTGTATAATTCTATAATGAATAATAAGTATGACTTTGCTGTAGACTAAAATTATTGTTTAACAAAATAAAATGCCTTGTAAAAAGGAAAGAATTTTGCACAGAAATTTCTTTACAATTGTTTGTAGGGTTGTAAATGTTTGTTAAATTTGTATTAATCCATTTATTGAATATAAATCGAAATCATATTAGTATTTTTTAGAAGAAGACAAGACTGAGCTACAAATTCTACATCGAAGGCGAGATAATGTGCTGGAACGTGCTGAAACGTGCTCCGCAGCCGACTGCGCAGTTGTATTAGTGAGAAAGCGTCGAATACTCGACGACGTCGATTGGTGGCGGTACTTGGAAGGTCGCACGCTATTGGTCGAGCTCCATGGGTCTTATCAGGGTGCTTGACTACAAGTGTGCTATGTTGCCACGTCATAATGTTGTTGCATCAGCTAAAGTTTCAGTTTTCTCAGCAACGTCGAATTGAATTGACCGTCAAAGGTCACAATACGTATTTCTATATTTTAATTAATCATCTAGACAACATTTTTCCTTTAAGTATACCCGGGAAATTATAGTTTTAGTCACGGAAGTGGGGGTTGTATTAACAATCGGCAACACTGTGATTGCATCACCCACAGCAACGCTTCGGTTGAACTGCGCAGCATTCTTAGTCACTAAACAACCGTGTGTAATTCCTTGGTGATGACTAATGATATCTTCCTGTTTGGCGTCCGATGAAATGTTGAAGAAGATCAATCAACGTAAGGACGCATTCTAATCAATTTACTGTATCGTAAGTAATTTAATAATTTAAATTATTAAAATAACATATTTTTTTAAGTTTATTCTTCTCAAAAATTTTGAAATGTGGATTTATGTAACAAAATTAAATTGAAACTTAATAGTTGCTTTCTGTGAATGTGAAAACAGATAGGAGCAAAAATAATAAGTTATAATATTACTAATACTAATAAAAAATAACAAATTCCTAATATTGATGAAAAGTAATAAATTACAATAATAATAAGTAGTAGCAAATTTTTATAATTTTAAGAAATTAAAAACAGATCTATAAATATAATACAATTTGAAAACATATAGTTTACTATATTGAAACTTTTTTAATACTTAAATAAATTTTAAATAAATTAAATTAATACTTAAATTGTTAATTAAATAATATATAAAAATAAAGATTAATACTTAAATAAATTGAAGGTTTTATTGACATCAACTTAATACTTAATCAAATTAAAATTTCTGTTAATAACAATTTAATCTTTAAAAAAAAATTGATTTCGACTAATATTATACTACTTCTTTCAAATAAATATAATTTTTTTAATTTTTTTATATTTCTGTATATGATATCACATTACTACCTTTTGTAAAATATTTGTGCAATTTTATTCAATACTTTTTCATTTGCAATATTAATTTTAGATCAACAATAGTTATTATAACAGACCATAAACACTTATTTACAGAACTTAATGATGTTTAGAAGATGGCGCCACATATGCTAAGGGACTACCACTCCACTGGAGATCCTGGCAGATACTCGTTGAGGGCAACCAAGCATAGTGAAAACATTTTCCCAAGACTGCCTCACGTGGATACTTCAAAAATAAACGGAAAGGAAGATTTTTTTCTTTGCATGGGTCTTCAAAAGAGATTTCATCACAAATCTTCAATTAATGATAGCTGCAGAGTAGAAACAATGATTCCTGCTGGTGTAATGTTACGTGATTGTAGTGTTGTTATCCTGGGAGAGAAGTGTAAAATATGCGGTAGGCTTTATAAGTGTAAAACGGACATAAATGTGCATATGCAACAAAAACATTATGCTTATTCAACAGAAGAAACTCAGTGTAAGGAGTATAACGATGAAATATACTCAAGTATTTCTTCACCGCATACGGTTAAAAAAAAATCTGCAAAAAAGTTACAAATAACTTTCAAAATAGGATGGCAAGTTTTATCGAAACGTTCAGTGAAGCGAAAACACCTGAAAAGGAATGCGATTGATACCGGTACACAAACCGAACTATACAATTCGGAAATAATTACGGATAAAGATGGTTATGAAAGTAGCGTTCCTCATATCGATCCTCCGTCATTCTGCACTAGTCCTTCTCGATGTAGCAACCCAACTTTACATGAAGTAAATACCGATCGATATGTGGATAGCAACATTGTGACAGGTCAGGCTTTCACAGATGGCGAAAATATGGCGTCCGAGAAAAACTTAGATTTACATAAAAGTAACAATTTCACTCAAACTTTTACAATTTCGAGTTACTCGATATCTAATAAGGAATTTGACCTTATGCAACCTTGTTTATCAACAACCTTGAATTCCAAAGAGAAAAGCGATACTGATATAATAACAACAGACGAACATGGTAAACAAAGAGATATAAATGCAAATGAGATATCAACAGATATTTCTGTAGAGAGTTTACAAAACTCGATTAGGGCAACAATGGAAAATTCAGTGATTCCAGAGCACCATTTGGCGACTCAATGTCAGTCAGCGCCCCCTCAGCAACCAACAACTCAACTACATTCAACATCACCCAAAGAACTACCAATACACCACCGAAGATTAATATTTTCTCAACAATTGTCACCTTCTCAACTGTCTTCAAGAGGTCGTAGACAGTCAATACCTCTCGAGCAGTCGCCACCTAATCGACAGTCGGTACTTTCTAGACAACTATCTCTGCCTGAACTAACGCCTTCTCAACAGCAACCGTCACCTCAGCAACCATCAACTCCTTTACAGCAACAAACAACTAGTCCCGTTAATCAACAACCTGATGATGAAATACAAGAAGTTTTACGCATTGTTAGAGGTCGCAGTAGCAGCAAAGACATTAACCAAGAATCACCGAACCGTTACGAGCAACTGTTGCTGCATGACGTCATTGAAGATATGCGAAAAATGGAGGAACGAGGTTTGCACTTATTAGAGAAGAAGTTCATGAAGATAAGGAAACGCATACTTAAAAATGGTGATAATGAGCCCGTGAAAAAGAAGAAGAAAGCACCCAAATCAAATGACAAGCACAAAATAAAAGATTCAAAAAAGAAGAAACTTAGTACAAAAGCGCAAAAACAAAATAGTGTTGTTGGAGACGTCTTAAAAGAGAACCTGACTTGTAATGGGAACGTGAACAGTATGGATGAAATGTTACGTGGCTACGGTATTAATTTTTATAATGACACGTTCGAGGTAAACAATAATACGGAGAACATTCAGGAACCCGTCCGCCATTTTCTCGCCCCATGTTCCGATTCAACGGAGAACAGGGGCAATAGACCGATCGTAATAGATCTAGTCAATGACACCGATGAATAATCGACAATAGAAACAATATATTATAATGAATGGTGATACATAGATGTGTAAAAGTATTGTCAGATTGTAAAGAATGATGATAATGGCGGATACGTTTCCAGAATAATGCAATTGAAAGCGCTAATTCAGTATGACTATGTTTATGTTCATTGAGTTCCACATTTTCGTTATTGATATGAGCACATTTAAACAAAAGAACACATGAAATTCTTACTGTATAATTTGAGTGCAATTTAATAGATTTATGGAACGAACAGTTCATAAGAACAGTAACTTTCCACCATGATATAGCAGTATCGTAAAATTCTACAAAAGCCAAAGTACGATGTCCGCAGAAATACGATGTGCGATCGTAACTTGATTCTACAATCGAGTGTAATTTATAATCTCGATATGTCGTAGCAGAGACTGTAGACTTCCTTCGTGCTCAAATCACAAATGAGGATCTCGTGAGATACAGTGTGTTTGTAAAATCGTCCAAGCGTGCAAAAATATGAAATTCAAGATCCGTAACATGAGATTCGGAAGACAAGAAGCTCGAATTCCGTTCAAAACCGTGTGGTCTACACTACGATATAGCGACATTGTAAAAGTCTTCAGAACTCAGGACATATATTCTGTTGAAATATAGTGTAATTGTAACTCAGGTCGGTCGGTAAAGTGTACGTGTTTAATTCCGCTTTACAAGAGCCTTTTTAGAGTGTGAAAAGTGAAAATTTACCTCAAAGTTAAATGGTTATATTGGGGTTTCAAAATATAGCACGGTCGTGAAATCAATCAAGCGTAGATAAACAAAAAATTCAAGTGCTGTGATACGAATTGCGAAAGATAACTCGAGCCTGCCTCAGAACTGTACAATACAGATCTAAAATTAATTACTCGATTGCAGTCTTAACAATCTAAGACACTTTCGACCACGCTATACAATTTAAACCCAAGTATACGTTTATTTTTCGCCTAAAATTTTTAAAGCGTAAGAAATAGAGACAAACGTTTGAAATGAAACTTTGCTGATATAGCAAGCGTTACGAATTTGTGTTACTTTTTGAAAATTTAAATTTAACTTGCAAGCTTTACTGATATCGATTTATTTATATCGATTAACTTTATTTATATCGATTAAGTATTTGCTATGTTTCTTTCGAAGTATATATTGTGATATGTCTAAAAAAAAGTCTCGGATGGCAATATTTCAGTGTTGTTAATATTATATTTATACTATATATATGTATTGTTATATTTTGTAAAGAATACATAAACGATATATAGTATTGTTGCCAAAATGCTATGTCTGTAGTTAAATTTTTAATATAGTCTTTATGTAGCTTCAAGTCAAGATTGAATTTACATTTAGGTACATACTATAAATTTTATTTACATCATACGTGAATATATGATGAGCTTTAAATATATTATTATTTGCTATAATTAATTTAGGGTACAGCTATTCAAATGTACATATGTTAGATTTTTCATTGCCTATTTAATGTATACGTAAATAACGTTTCTTTTGTACTTTTGTATAATAAATGTTCCTTTCCTTACAAAAGTGATTGATGTTCTTATTTTGTGACAACCTATTCCACGTGTACATACAAATGACTTTGCATAAATCAAGAAAATGATTATGATTATAAACACGGTTTATCTACTGATGGAAAGTGGTATGTAGTTAACCACGTTGCAAATGGGGGCGTATAGTTAACGTCTCAATATAGCAAGGTCATAAAATTTTCGTTCAACCAAAATACATGAAACCTAAACTCTTAACGATCAGTTTAAAAGAGATAAGGACCTGAAATTTCATTCAGAAGCGCGCAATAAAAAGTTTTTCCCATCTTGAACGGAAAAACGAAATCCTAAACAGAACAAATATACGGTCCTGGAAATTTCTACTTTACTCACCGCTATTTTCCAAGGCATTTACGACTTTACTATATCGCAAGAAAGACTATAATTTTCACAGGATCCTCGAAAATACTTCCTCACCGTTTTGACTTTGGTATTAGCAATTTACACAGTGATCTATGACAGAAATAAGAGCATAACCCATTTTCGACCAATCGCACTTTGAATGTGTAAACACTAACCTCAAATTTTAAATAGACGTTCCTACTTTTTCACGTATAATTTTGAGCTTTCACAAGTATGCAACCTTTTTGCATATTGTTTCAAAAATTATGAAATAAATAAAACTATTTAATTCATATGTTAAAAGCCCACAGAGGAATAAGAAAATTTGTTTTGCATTTTTACAGTTTATTAATTGAGTAAATTTATTGCAAAATGTAAACATGTACAATATATGAATAAATTGATAAATAACTTTAAAGTCTCGCACTATGTACGAGTAAAATTACATTGCACTTGGAAAATTTATATATGAATTTAAATTGATTACAAAACGTAATCATAAGTAACATTTAATTGTCAATAAAACATCCATTTATTCGTCCTTCACTGATACTACATTGCTTAATACCATATACAGAATGTACCATTCAAATCAAATCACTCAAAAAAATTGAAAATATTAATGATACAAAAATATATTTTAGACAAATGTTACGTTATTTCGGGAGGGGGGAATGATCTGATAAAAATAGCTTTCATCTACATGGATATATGTATGTACAGGAGAGATATGAAGGTCAACTTGTTTTTTAAATAGAACTATTTTTTAATACACTGTTTCATATGACGTTATTCGCTACCTAATTGTATTAAATTACTTATAGCGAAAAATTATTAGTTTACAAGATATCATTTTTATGTAAGTATGCTTTGCAGTCTGAATTCAGACATTTATTTCATTTCTAAATAATTCTTCAACTCTTTGTAACATCTTTATGAAAATTGGTTGGCACGCCTCAAGAATCATCTCTTTCAAATGGTTTAGTGATGTACATTCTTCCATACAAACATGTTTGAAATATCTTCACAAGAAACAAATTTAAGGACGTCAAATCTGGTGATTTTAACGAAAATTCAAACACTTGTTCCGTGCAAACGTTTATGTAGAAGCATTTATAAAAGCACAAGATGTTAAGATTGACACATATTAGCTATGTTGCAATAGCTAATATTTTGCAATACTAAAAGAAAAATATTTTCTAAATTAGCGATATTATGCTATAAGTGACAATGCTTTTGTATAGAGAATAACGAGTTGCATCGAATAATGCACTAAAAAACATATTTTATTTTAAAAAAACACAGTTGGCCTTCATATCTTGTTCATATCATATCATCTTTATATCATCTTCTTCATATCTTCTTCATATCACGTTCACGTAGACCACTACGTCCGAAATCATATAATTTTTACTTCAAATATATTTTGGTGTGATCAATATTTCTGAAGATAGTTAAATGGATCAATTTAAATAGAATACTCTCTATACATATACATATAGCAACATAACACGCATTAAATGCAAATATTTTCATGTTTATGTGTGCACTATATTAATAAGTTTTGGTATACTGCCAAGTAACAATACTATGCATTTAAGGGTTAAAACATAAGAGTTAAGGAAATGTTTCGGATAACAATTTAATAGTAAAGTAAATATTATGAACTTGTGATAATAAAATTTTGAACAAAGATTTTTTTTGAAGGATTTGTAAATTATATTCTGAATAAAGTACCTTTTTAATCCTTATACAAGGTGTCCGATTAACTCTATTAGAAGACGTTATCTTTGTCATCTTTAATGTTACACAAAAATGTCAAAAGGATAAATTGTTTAGTTCGGCGGGATAAATATGGTATATAAAAGCTTATTTTTTTTAATTAAATACTTGTATTGTCATGACATGATATTTAAGGCCAAGATCAATTCAATGACCTTCATGTGTCCTTAAATAAGAAAAGTTTGAAAATGTTTGATAATAATAGATGGAAATGATGAAGTATCTACTAGTACTGTCGATTTACAATAATTGCTATCAGAACATTGATAAAATTGTTATCATTCCTTGCAGAAGTATTCATTTCTGGCATGGAGCTTGACAGGACTATATCATTGAAGATGATTCTCTTAATTCTAAGCGTTATTTAATTATGTAGAGCTTATTTGTAAATTTATTCAATATTATTTATTCATTAGTAATTTTAGCTTACTTAATTTTGTCGAAATTCGCTTAATACTAGGTACGTATCAACATCATTAAATGTATGCATTTGCATTTGAAATTTCTTCAAAACGATTTTATACAATACCAAAAGTAGACTACCGATAACGTACATGACATCTTCAGTATTACTCACTAACGCTGCTTTATTTTAACATAACAATTAATGGGAAAAGCAATATAAATTTTGTCCTTTAAACACTTCTGAATCATTCGTATTCAAAGTCACGTGAAGGATATTGAATTGATCTTGATCTCAATTCTATCATGATAATACAAACATATAATTCTGTTTGAAAACACACCGATTAATTTGAAATCTTGATAAAATGTTTTTATTTACTATAATATTTGTCTTTGTGAATGAAATTCGTTAAAAATTACAGAAATATCCCACATAATAAAGTTAGCGGGACACTGTATATTATCTAAGAAAGATCAGCAAAGTATGTCAAAGAACGATCTCGTAATCGATGAAGGATAAACGATTATTCAACATCTTTATTAAAGTTTTGGCATGCGTGAGTGGTCCAGTGGATTACCGGCTTCTCGTGAAGTGGCTCCTTCCGGTCGCGTGAAGCACGGCGTACCGAAGACTCCGAGGTGACGCAAAAGTGGGACCGCTTCCGACAGTTGGTGCTCGATCAGCGGAAGTCAGTAAGCCGCCACATATATTCCGTGAAGGGTTGTATGTATGTCACGCGTAAATACCGAAGGCACAATTAAACTGCAAGACGAGGCAACGCATTGCACGGCTGCTCGGCATAAACTGATAAGCCTAGAGAACTGCTTCACTCTCTCCACCTCTCTTCAAGGAGATTCGATCTTGCTTTCCGTCTTCCCTCATCGGGGAGACGAAACAATTACGGCTGGTTGTGAATTAGCATATAGAGAAAGAGGCTGTTTCGTAGTTGCAAGACAACTGATGTTGATCGTCACAGATCATTTATTGCTGGAACTTTATTCGTCATTTTCTTACGAGTAACTTTGAAACGCGGATCAAAGAAGATTATACTGTCCCCTTCAAGAGATTTATGAAATAGTTGCGAAGATTTGAAGGTGTGGAAAGCTCTTTTTGAGAACAGTTCATTTAAAAAAAAGTAATATGGAACA